AGCTAAGCAATAGTGAAATCCCTCCATACACGTGTATGGAGGGAGGGCAAAGTGGGTGCCAGCTAGCACAGCTGGCACAAAATATCTGCCAAAAGTAGATGCACAGTGGTCGGCCAGTCAAAAATGCCAAATTGACCAAATAAATGGTCGACCGACCAAACAGATTGCCAACCGACCAAATATTTGGCCGATGGTAACAAAACAATGGCCGGTGGCCTCAAGCCATGGCCGGTGAGATGTGGGGATGGCCAACAAGCCATTCCCTGCTCCTCAAAAGTAAAACACAAGTGTTTGGTGCAAAACCAAACACAAAATAGGCAAGTCGAGAGGTCTTGAGGCAAGGCACGTGGCCGAGACCTCCGAGAACTCAAGACGAACGCGAACATGGATGATCACCGAGTGTTCAAACGGTGACGTCCAAGTATTGAGGACGATCAAAAATGGGGTGTCTACAACGCTTCATAGTCTCCATGTCAGCCGTCATTCTTCTTATTACTTCGTCTTGCTCCCTTACGCGATCTTCCAGAACCTGAGGATCCATCATCCGCCTCTATCTATCAGGACTTTGAGAGCGGTGTAGACTTTAGCCTCGTCTTTCTCGCGCTCTCTCTTCATGGATTCTGTCGTTGGGGATCTAATTCCGCCATGGGTGGTACATAAGGCAAGCCTTTGCACCTTGCGCTCCTTCTCGGGGTCTGCCAATCAATAGCAGAACGTGGTAAGTCTTCGTTATGCGCCATTGATTTCGACTAAAGAGGAAAACTCAATCAAAAGGTTTTGTTCTTTGTGTTTTCTCACAAACGGTGCCAATTGTACGAGCACGAAATAATTCTTCTCGTATAATCCTATTGATTAAGTTTGTACTCCTCCAAACGTCGTCGCTTTGTCACCTGAAAACACAAACGTGAGCTAATCGGCGGGTGTGTGCCGGAAACCCCTCGGATGCCTAAGTCAGCCACTAGACAATAGACAATAAGCTTTGTGTATTCTAGAGTAAGAATTGGGATATCTGTACATAGGTTCTTCTATGAGCTTTTATAAACTCTGTCTGGCACAATCCTAGTAGGATTTCAACTTTCCTCATAAGAGTCCTCCTAGAAATCACACACCCTACTCACTACCAACCAAGCGAGATGGTTTTGCACAATCCTAGTAGGACTCTACTTTCCTTAGCAGAATCCTCCTAGGAGTCACACTCCTACTCACTACCAACCAAGTGAGATGGTTTTGCACAATCCTAGTAGGACTCTACTCTCCTTAGTAAAGTCTTCCTAGGAGTCTCAAGCCCAAGGATAATGATTATCCCTAAAACACCCTCATCACTGCAAGTCAAGTGAGATGGCCACTCTCTCATGCTCGGGTATACATTCCTGACTAAGCTGTCTTATCTCGATCTCCTGCCATTCGGACCGTGTAATTGGAAGCCGATCTATCGAATGGCACCCTGTCGAGCTATACATAGCCCGACCCTTGTCATTGATGTTACCTCAGTTTGCTACAGAACTTCCTTTAAACAGCTAGGTCCAAGCCTCAGTGTCACAGCTGACCATCCTGGCCCAAGACCAAGCTATCAGCCCCTATTCCGGCCCATAGCCTGGCTCTTAGTGCGGCCTAATATTAAAAAACAATGCTTCCTAGCTCGGCCTAATTTAGCTATACAAATTACCCTCTCAGGAATTGTGTGTGTGGCATTTATGATTATGTGTCGGGGTTCAAGTCATGTAATGGGCCATCTCTGTTTGTAATTGTATTTATAGTAATGTGGAATAATGCTATGAGAAATGAGTGTCTTACAATATGATATTTCTTGTTGCAATATTTGTGTGAATTATTTTGGGTTCATCAAAAGACGCTCAGTCTATAATGTGAAACATTCGTAATGGTTATAGATGTTAGTGTCCCGAAATGTGTGTTGAATGTTAATGAGTTAGTGTTATTAGTTTAGGGTGGAATACATATGTTGATGTTATTGTATTGATGTATAATTAGAAAATTGCCTTGTTTGGAGGTAGGATATGCCTTGTGTTGTGATAATTTCGACATGTGGTTTTTGTTGTTAACATCATTCATTTATGTGGGCAATAGATTTTGTGTCCTAAAAATGGTTGTGTATGTTGGTTTATAGACATAATGTGGATTAATGTTATGTGAAATAAGTGTGTGTCTTGCCGTATGGTATTTCTTGTTGCAATATTTGTGAAATTATGTTGGGTATGTCGTCATGGCACTCAGTTTATAATGTGAAATGTCGTAATGGTTGCTTCTTGCTAATGTTTTCGTAATTATCCGAGTAACATGGCGTACATGTAATTCCTTGATGAAACTATGCGGTTGCAATATAACACGTGTTCATCCACTCATGTAGTATTGTTTTTTTTTCCCCCTCCCAAAAAATCAATGTGTCGTATTCTAGATGGACGTGGGCTTAATGGTTTACACTGGACCAATTGTAGAGTGAACGCAAATGTGATCGTGACATTGTGTTCACTGAAATGTTGGCCATTAGTGCCAAGTTAAACAGTAAACATAGAAAAACAAATAGGGTGTTACATGATTTTGGTCGACCCGTCCGATGGAAAACACTAGCTGACATGTTAGTATTTTGTTGCATCACACCGTGAAGCTTGTTGCCATTTGTGTTAGTTTGTTGTTTTTTTTATTTGTTGGTGTGACATTAATTGATTATGCATTGTCCATTTCATTCCAATTGATTTCAAATCACTGTTATCATGTTTATTTTCATTAATGTTCACACTATTTTTTGTCACGACTTTATGCGGTTCCAATCTAATGAACACTTTACAATATTTGTTTTAGGTAACTCTCCGTAGCGGATTCCCCACAAAGTGTCTGCTACTAAGACACGCGGTCTAATGTGAAGGCATCCATGTCGACAAGGTTGGCGGTCAAAAAACAGGCAAAATCACCTTTTTAAGTCTAAAAAACTTGCATTATGCTGGTATGCTTCATCACGCGACAGTATGTGCACATGGTCGATACTGACACCACAATAAATGGACTGACCCTTGCTGTTTACGAGGAGACAATGGTGAAAACACTCATAAATGACCCTACGAGAGGGCTGCGATCTAGGCCGCTATGATGCACCTCCAACACCCCCTCCCCCAAAAGCATCTACATACTTATTTCATTTTTTTTTTTTTGGTTCTATCTGGACAAAGAGAGTTTGAGCGACAAACAATGTTAGTACTTAATGTTACATATGTTTTTGTGATACATTTTTTGATGGTTGATACTAAAAATGTTTGGTGATTTTTACAAATGTGACGTTAGTTTAGTGACGCATAATTTGTTGGTTCATATATTTTGGGTGGTTAATACATAATGTTGTTTTTTAAACACTGTCATGAACACTATTACGTGGACATTGTGTGGACATCATTGAATGAAAAGCGTTAAATTGCACACCACACTTGTTAATTACCAAATTACGTCCAAGCAGGAAATGACCCGAATGTTGGTAACCGATCATCATGTAAAAGTGTCACGTCGTATTATTAAACATTATTCACATTCCACGAATGTTTGTTCATGTTATTCCGAATACTGAAATTGTGTTGTTCACTTATAATTTTTAATAAAACTACACCAAACACATACTGTGGACAGGGGGAAAAAAACAATTGTATAGTAAACACCATCCAATTAACACCTTACAGTAAATGCATGCCATCCAAAAAAATGGTTACCACGTTACAAGATAAGAATCACACACAAATGAAAATGTAAAAACATTAGCCTCTGCATCATTACACACATCAGCAAAAAGAATTCCACCAAATCCCACCAAATGATAAATATGTAAACTCCACACATGTTAAATCAAAAGAAAATATTCCTTACCAATTACATAGGATCAAATGGTTTATAAGAAAAAACACAGGACTAAATGAATCAACATTCTTCAATTTGAGATTTATTGATAATTTTTTTTTTTTTCATTATAACCCAATAAAAACTAAAATTGCATTTATTATTTATTTCTTTCTATTTTTCTTATCAAATTCTCCAATCAAACGACGCTTTAAGTTGAATGTTGAGAACTTCTCTCTCAGGTTTCTTCTCTTTACGGTATCTCACCAGATTAGAGTTGAAGTTGAAGTCTTTTTATTTATTTATTTATTTTATTTTATTTTAAGGTTTCTATGCTATACCACGTGAGTGGGTTTGAGGATTCGGCCAATTTTAATTAAAGTCATTACAAATTAGGTTTTTTTTTTAATATCCTTTTATAAAAATATAAAAATTAAAAATGACTAAGAAAAATAATTATCAAAAGGACTACATATGTTGAGCAATCTATATATGGTGAGTGTTTAAATTCTACGTGTAAACGTGACTTCCATTGCATCAATATGCTTAAAAAAATGTAACAAAAATTTTCTTAAAAAAAACAAAAAAATTGTAATAAAATATTGATATAAAATCAGTGATAAAAAATATTCCAGAGGGAGAGCAACCTTAACCATTTTTGTTGCTTTTTATGTGTCATGTAATGTTTAGCATCATTTATAGTTTTCCTTTTTTTTTTGTTCTTTTTTTTTTTCTTTTTTTGGTGGTGTGGGGGGTGGTCGGGGAGATTTCAGTCTTGAAAATTCTAAGGTACAAACAAAATAAGTAATTTTCAGACCCTTTTTAATTGCTAACTTAAACGAGTTTCCAAATATACTAACATAATTTTGAACTTACTTTCTTGAAAACAAATGTTGATTTCATAATTTTTCTCAATAAAATGCCTACATATTTCCCCAAATGTTTGGTATGCTTGAAATTTTGAATCTGGATCTTCTACCAACAGTCCATATTCCCTCTCTCTCTCTCTCTCTCTCTCTCTCATGAAATACCATAGGGTCCATATAATGCCACAAAAAATGTCAGAAGTTCAAGTTAATGCTCCTCTGCTACACAGCGCGCACACAACATTATAGTCATATGAGCCTCATCCAAGTATTCATCCCTTTCAGAAAATTTCAATCATATGCTATCCACATAACATATCCTACGTTCTATTCAGTAAGGGACACCAAAAATTTCAAGATAATATTTGATCTTGTCTGAAAAAAACAACAAAAAAATGAAGCGACTCTGCATAAAATCTACTGCTATTTAGGGGGAAAAAACAGGCTAGCAAATGCCCAAATTTGGGACAAACCACTTTACATTGTAGGGGGGCTGCTAGTTAAACTCAGTTGCAATTTTTGCTAATCAATTCAGTAGCCTTTCTACTTTTTTTCATCTAAACAATAAAACAAAAACACAAATATGCCTTTCAAACAAAGGGCATGGAATTGCCAAAAGCTATTCTATAGTTATTAAGTAGCAATTTCATCAACCTCAGAATGAAATACAAAACTTGGAAATGTTGTCGTTATATCCCTGCATTGTATGAAACAAAACGAAATTACTAAAATGTCAATTTTAACTAAATGGCATGCATGTAAACAAATTATGATCCACTATGATCATCCGTACCTCAGATATGGAAGTGTCATTATCTTCAACAACGAAGGGTTTCGGCTCACAAAATTCTGCCACTCAGTTTTATCTATCTTTCCATCCTGATTTACATCCGATTCCAAAAATGTCTGCAGACGAAATGTAAAAACCATCATATTAACAAAATTTGTCCTGTTATAAGAACATAAAGACATCACATTTTTTCGGAATCAAGAAATTGAGGCTAATAATGACTTTTATTCCCGCCACAGCATTTGTTTCACAAGCGTGGCAAACTAAGAATTTTTTAGTTCTCTTGTTAAAATCACAGTATTTGATGCACCCTGTCAACTTTTGCTCCATTTGTTTGGGTGGAAAACATTTTTTGAAAAATATTTTATGTATTTTCTGACATTTGGTACAACGGAAAATGTTTCAGAATCAGCAACCACTTACCTTATCAAGTATTATCTCAATGGTCTCATCAGCCAGCTTCATTTCAGATTCACATAATAGTGCAATTAACATCTGCTTGACCTGCAAAAATCACATACAATGAAGATGCCTGCAAGGAGGTTCCAATAAAATATAATCGAATCAACACAAGTGGTTATGTGCAGCATATATCTGTCAACTAAGTTTTCAGACTACAAACTGACAATCAAGCAACTAATTAATCTCTCAGATGAGGCTTCTTAAAATTGAAAAGGAAGAATTTTATCAGCAACCAGCAGGATAGAAATCATCTGAAGAAGGAAAGGCCAAAGGATGAAAAAAAGCTTGAATGAATGAAGTTTTGCATCAAGACCAAGGTGACCCCAGTGGATAAGGTGCTCCCTTACGAACTGTGATGCCTGGGTTTGAGTCTTGCTGCGTGATGTAGCTTCCTTTTCCTTATTCTCCTCCTACTGATTGTTAAATAATTATTATAAAAAATAAAAATGAAAAAGGAGAAGAGTTTCGTATCGGATATGAGGAACAATGTTAGTACTGTCTCTCATTAATCTGAATTCTGAAGTCAATGTTCTGCAAACATAGATGTCACAAGAACGATAAAACTGAAGCCAACAAAACTGTTACTAGTTTCATTCAACAAGAACAAGGTATGTAAATTGATTTCTTCTTGGAAATACTAGAAACCAAAGAGAATATCCATGAGGACTCAAATCCAGTTGTATTGGCTAAAATACAGACACTATACCTACCAACAGATCAGGCAAGAAATCTTATAATTATCTTATGTTAGGGTATAGGACACCAAGCAATCCAACCCATGTTTGGGGGCTCCGCACAGGGGCCCCCAAAGGCTCAAGAGAGACTGATAAACCCAAAGCTAAAGCCCTCTCTAACATCAATTGGTTTTAGGAGAGATGGAGATGGCCCTCTGTCCATAAAGAGAGGGAAGAAGCTTAATTACGAGAGCAGCACAAAAACAATGAAAAATAGGGACAAAAAAAAAAAAAAAAAGAAACACAAGTTGATCTGATGCAAGTTAAAATGGGTAAAAAGGTTAAACTATTGCATTATTGTTGAACTATATAATAGTTGCATGATTGCATCAGATAAAGTTCAGTGATGTATAGCATTAATGACTTCCATTTTGGAAAGTAACAGATGGGAATTCCAACTGTTTATGTAACCTATGGTTCCAATAGTACGATGAACCACATTCCAATTAATATAATCCACACCTTAGGTTATTGTAAAGCATTAACATGTTGCTCAGACATGCATTTTCTACACAGACAAATATTAGAACAGTACTATATATTTCTTTTGGAGAGCATATAAGCACCAACATACCTCTTGTCGTTCAATAAATCCTGTGCTGTCCAAATCATAGAGCTTAAATGAAACTGCCATGCAACACAACCATAAAATATAAATAAATCTATATTTGCAAAATCTGGCAATGCAATCAATGGAAAATGTATTATATTGTCTCAACTTACAGTCAATTTTGTCTTCTTGTGGGGCATTTGGGTGGAAGACACTGAGTGATCTAACAAAATCACCAAAGTCAATGACTCCCTTCCGCTTAACATCAAACAGATCAAATATCTGCATGCGAAATTTAACCAGATTCAAAACAAGTAGAAATTGATTGACATAATGGAGATAAATGTTATATGCAATAGAATAACTAAGTCTCAACAGAAACAAAATGATAAAGTAGCATACCCTGTTTGCGAAAAGATTCTCCTTCTTTCTATTCTTGAATAGTGCCAATTGAAACTCTTCCTGCAGATCCAATAGGTATATCCAGTATCATGTCAGAATTGAAATTCACATCAAACATCTTCACATTTTCATAAACACCAAAATTGTAATGAAAAAATGCATTTATATTTATAATTTAGTTGCAAACGTAAAAGTACACAAGTTGTAACTCAGAAACTGAATTTATAGAATACAAGGCCATGACACAAAACATTATCATTAAGCAAACCATATACAAGGAACTCCTATGATACTTCACCCAATGCTAAAACATTAATTGGCAGAGCTGTGCACTACACAACTTTACAATTTTTCTCAATTTCTCCACCATCATTCAATGATCTCAGAATATGTGGTTACCAGAAAGGCTGCCTTGTGGGACTTCCTTCTAATATAAGGTACAAAGTAACCAATATTACAAAGGAGGAGACATTCCCTCAACAGTCTTATCTTTATTGATCATTTTAATTTTTTTTATTGATCATTTTAATGAAATTAGATACCCTAACAAATTAGCAAGACACCAAGAGAGAGAGAGAGAGAGAGAGAACATGACTTCCATCTAAAAAGAACGGACATGCGGGCAAGGACACGGATGTGGACAAGGACACAGGACACGGCGATTGCAAAAAAAAAAATGGGGACACGGCAACAAAATATGTTTTCATATATTTTTATTTGCTATCTAGATTAATATTACATCCACAAACAATCAATATTAACAAAGATAACTCTAATTCTATATTTTTTTATTAAAAAAATTATAAATTAATATTTACAGTTTATATCTTTTTTATGAATAATTTATTAATTATTTAAATCTAAGAAAAAAAAAAAGAGTAAACATTCAACATTTATCAAAAGTACTAAAAAAAATAGGGGAAAAGATACTTGGCATGCTCCTAGTGTGTCCCTGAAATGTCCTTGGCGTGTCCCCTGAAAATAAATTAATTAAATAAGGGGACACACCATGTGGCGTCTCCTATACGTGTCCCCGCCATGTCCACGTGTCCGATATGGATACAGCACTTGTTTTGAAGTGTCGGTACTTCATAGAGTTCCATTGTCAGTCACATCACAAGCATTGAATAATTTTATATTAGCATGTCTTTTACTCATACCATATCTACTATGGCCCATGTTCACATGTAATTCAATATCATGGACAGATAAGCTTTAACAAAATTGTTAGTATTATGAAAAAGAGAGGATCCCTTCTAAGTTCCTATGAATTCATCAGCAAGAGAGACAATATATCAAATCCACTACTTGACTAGCTGGACCAACGGTGACTTCACTATCAAAATGTGGACTACTGATTTATAGATTCTCCAAAATCACCAATAAAGGATACAGTACAGAGGAACACTAGCAACCACTGTATAATCTATATGTATAACCTAAAATCCCAAATATTACCAGTAACATATGAAAAATAGGGATGATGAACATAAAAAAAGATGAAATAAGAGGAGTGTTAGCTATATGTAGTGGTGCACATCACCTTGTTTATTAGTCCATCGTCAATTACGGAACTGCTAATACTCTTAAATAGCTCAAATAATGCTTCAACTTCACTTACACTAACTGAAAAAAAGAAAATGACAAATGAACAAGCTTTCAGTAAATTTTATATAAAAGAAGAAAGGCAACATAATCAATAGTAGAAAACATATTTTTCGCATATCAAAAATCTGTTTAATGAAAGAAATAGCACAAGTTTTTCTTAGGTTTGGATCGTGAAGACTTGGATGAGACTAAAGTGAAAGTGAACGACGAGAAAGTTTTCAAAGATGATGGAAGTGGATCCATGGAAGGCATAAGTGTATATCAAGGTTAGGGTTTTAATTTTATGGGAGTATAGAGAAAGAAAAGTATAATATTTAAGTAAAAGGTGGCATTATATGGTTGATTGATAAAATGTGATTTTTTTCTCCTGTAGTTGATAAATACTTTATAGGATTCTTCAAACAAGGGTAAATTGGACATTTAATGAAATGTATAGCATAACACATCAGCAAAACCAGTAACATTATTAACGGCTTTTTAACAGCACGGGAAAGTGATGCGGTTTTAGAACTTGAGAGAGCCCAATGTAATATTGTCAAACTAAGGGTAGCACTCAAACAAAATCATTCATCATTGGAGATATGTATTGCTAAAATAAAAATAACAAACTGCAACAACATAAACATCCCAAGTAAAAGTTGAAGAACTTACAAGCTGTTTGTGAAGCCAGAATTACCGGGTCTTCATGTCCAGGAAACTGCTTTTTTGCCTTAGACTGAAAACAGCCCATTTACGAATGGAAGAAGGAGAAGCGCACCACTAGACTAGCGCCTAGCGCTTATGCTTCACTACAATATATCATCAAAACCATCTTAACCTTGCAAATTACCAATCCGTATTCAAACACCACCATACAAAATAATCAGCAAACTAATATAAACAATATCACAAATAGATTCACGAAGATTCCAGATCAGAAAAGGACTCAAGTTAAAATCAAAGATCAAAAATTCTTGGTATTACTGAATTCTAAACATCAAAAGAAAATTAGATCTAATCTATCCAACCCAATAGAGAGATACCATAGAAATTGATAAATAAATTCAAAGAACCAGTTAATGAAATTCAACTTATCCTAACAAATCAAAAATCCAACAAAATAAATAAATAAATAAACTAACTCCAATAGCTACACAAGACATGATGTTTCCAGTTCCCAGAGGAAGGGAAGAAAAAAAGAAAAGAACATAAAAAGCAACGCTTAATAATTTTCCTTATCTGATTAGGCAAAAAATTGAGAATTAACAAATAAAGAGAAATAAAACCTCAAATAAGTTTCTTACTATTATATACAATTCTACAGATCTTTTCCCTTTTCTGAGTGACAAAAAAATCAGCCAAATACAAGACATCCAGAACTTTTATTGTTACGGATCAAAAACCAAAACGAAGCTTAAAAATTCAAACTTTTTCCACCACTTTTCTTTTCCTTCAATTTCCCAGCTACCAAACGATAATACACCAAACAAAAACCCAAAAAACAAAAAAATCGATGGAACCCAGAAAACCCAAAACGCCAAAACCCTAAAATTCAACAACAACACATTCCATCAACATCAAAAGGGTAGCAAAAATCAAGAACAGATCGAGAAAAGTGATGTATACCTGAGTTACCGACCAGCAATTTGGCCGGAAAAAAACCCTTGTCCTAGATAGAGCAGGAGCCCTGTTATAGAGAGAGAAAGTTTTAGTGAGAGAGAGAGAGACAGAGGGGGAGCTAGAAAGAGGTAAGAAAACGAGAAACGACGATCACGGGCCTGCTATTGCACTGGCCGTTGATCAATGGGAACGAAACTTGGCCACACGGGAATTTAACACGCTGTACTGTCCACCGAAACAGAGGAGAGAGAGAGATGGAAACGCCGAGGTTGAGGGCGACAGAGGAACATAAATATATAGCGAAGGAATGAGGGTTGGGAGAGTGAGATTACGCGCGGTTTGGACGTGTGTGGAATGGAATATTAATGTGGTAGGTGGAATATACCCGTTTTACCACGTGGATATACCGGATTCGTTATGTGATTCTCTCATTTTGCTTTTGCTTTTCCTTCGCTAACCCTTTTTTTAGGTCCCTTTTTTGTACAGTAAATAAATAAATAAATTACTAAAAAAAAATTAAAAACATAACGTTAAATTAAAATATTATTACAAATTTATTCTTATAAAAAAATTTACTAAATCTCTTATATAAGATTATCTCTAATATTACACCAAATTCAAATTTGGTGAAAAAATCTTTTTTTTTTTTTTTCCGTACTTCAATAGTTTGCCCAAACTTAAATCAAATTAAAAAATTTTAAAAAATTTCACTGATCTGGCCCATCTTTTACCATTTTATTGTGCACGAGCGTTGAGTTAGGACCCACCGGACGTCCGGCCAGATGTCCCCAGTCATCCTCTTCTTTAAACAATTCCCACAAAAATAGGTAATACAGAAGTTGGAAAAATAGTTTGTACAACCATGACTTTTGGCTAACTTTGATCCTAAATTGAGATGCGCTCCGGATACCGATTGAGGTGTGTCCAGATAGAAACGTATTCTTTGTCGGGTGGTGATTCACTTCATATATTTGGTTGTTCAAACTATTTTTTGAATACATGCGAAATTGACTTCGAAAGAAACTTCGGCAAAACAGTAGTTGAACAAATTCAAATTGAATTCATCTCTAATTTCTTCATCACAAGCAGGGGCGCAGCCACCTAAGGCCTAGGGGGGTCACGTGCCCCCCCTAAACTTTCAATATTTATACTGTTACCCATATAGATAAAAATTATGTATTATATATCCTTTAAAAAATTATAATAGTGACCCTCCTTAAATTATGTAAAACTTTTTTGTTCTTTTTTAATTTTAAAAATTCTCTATTTTATTATTTTGATTATTCTTGTATACTTTTAATTGATAGGTCAAGGTAAGAATTAAATCAATTGATAATTCATTTCTTATTATGGGGTTTGTTTAGTTGCTTATTTCTCCTCATTGGGGAGAACTTTTTTTTGAGTTGATAGGATTATACTTATTGATTATTTAGTTAATGAAATTTAGTTATTGATTGTGAATTTATAAATCACCTTAAACGGTACACTCTCAGGTAAACGGCAACCTGCAAAATTCAGAGACACATGATGTAAACTTCAGGCCATGGATGTTAGTTACCAAAAGAAGCAAGAGGCCCACTCCTAATAGGAAAGCCCAGCCCAATGGACCTAACCCAAACGCCAATAGATTTGCTGAATTGGGCTCTAACACTCACCAGGAGGAGGGACCTAGCAGAGGTAAAAAAAAACCAATAAATTGGGCCTTGAAAAGTAGGCCTCTTCATCCTTCAGTACTATGACCCCTGCTGGGCTGGAAAATTCCTTAGTTCATCATAAAAGCCCCAACACCCAGTTATTAGACCACACTAATGGCCCAGTCAACGACATAAACCACCCTCCACCTACACTCATTACAGACAAAGACATTACACAAAAAGAATCCACCCCTGCAACCCTTACTCTGAAGGTTTCAGATACCAAATCCACAGAAATTCCTATGGAAGTAATCTCTGAAGATAACCTCAATCCCTATCCACCCACCCCCCCTCCGTTCAAACCAAACCATATCTCTGAGAGAAGGTAAAGCAAGAGCTCGAAAACCTTCAGATCCAGATATCATCTATAGGAGAGGAGATGATCCACTCGGCAGTATCAGTCCACAAGATGGAAAGAAATGCATTGGGGTTGTTGTTAGAGTCAGGGACAGAAGCAATTCACCGCATAGACACAATCTGGTGGATAGAACAAATCCGACTGAGAATAGAACTAGGGTGGAGCACCACAACAAATCCTCCATTCCACTCGTTGCAGATGGCGTCCATGAGATCAATTGATCAGGATCATCGTAAGATCCGTAGCCTCCTACCAAGACTTGTTACTAATCTCTACCTTTATTCCCCTCCATGGATTCTCTAAAAATCTTGATTTGGAACTGTCGCAGGACAGGCAACAATACCTTTAGAAGAACCATGCGTAAACCTCTCCAAGCCCACAAACCTGGGATTTTGATTCTGATGGAAACAAAAGTCCAGTATAGTTCTATGGGAAATTTCTTCAGTAACATGGGGTTCTCAGCAGCTACTATTGTTGACCCAGTTGGCCGGTCAGGTGGAATCTGGTTGATCTGGGATACTGACCAAGTTAACGTTCATGCTTCCTCTGTTTCCAACCAATACATACAAACCACTATTCATAATGAGGATTATGAGAAATGGGTGCTGAATGCAGTTTATGCCAGCCCCAACCCCCCCTGAGGGAGGCACTCTGGGAAGACCTTGAAGACATAGCGAGGAATCTGAAACAAGCCTTGTCTTGTAGCTGGTGACTTCAACGATTATGCCAACCAAAGCAAGAAGAGGAGCTTTTCACACACCCTTAACCAGAACAGAACCCAGAGGTTTGTGGAAAGAATCAATAACTGCAATCTCATTGATTTAGGTAATGTTGGCCCCCGTCTCACGTGGACTAACAACCGTCAAGGCCTGGCTAACTCCATGAAAAGGCTTGATAGAGCAATGATCAATGGCAAACCCTCTTCCCTGAAAACACTGTGAGGACTTCCCAAGAACCTATTCAGACCACTCTCCTTTGGTAATATATACTCAAGGTATGCATCCCTCTAATCCCAAAAATAGGCTTTTTAGATTTGAAGCGGCTTGGCTTTGCCACCCTAATTTCCCTGATGTTGTGCATACTTCTTGGGTAAATAAGGATTTTAATTTTCTTGAAGTCGTTAATGATTTCACTCAGAATGTTAAAACCTAGAATAAAGAAGTTTTTGGTAATATTTTTAAAAGGAAAAGAACTCTTTTAGCTTGTATAGAAGGAATCCAAAAAGCCCAAACAATTTAATATGACCCTCTTTCAAAAGGATATTCTCTGGTACCAAAAATCTAGAAATAAATGGCTCACTATGGGAGACAATAATACCAGGTTCTTCTACATATCTACCCTAACCAAGAGAAGGAAGCTTAAAATCCATGTGTTAAAAGATGATTATGGTAACTGGATCTCCAATACTTCTGACCTCAAAGCTCACATTCTTGATCACTTCAGTGCCCTTTTCCAATATGAAGAAACTCACACTGTGGATAATTGGATCAACATTGCTAGAACTAACTTCACTCCTAAAGATAATATTAGACTCCTTGCCCCTGTTACCAATACCGAAATCTATGAGGCCATTAAAAGCATTAAAGCCTTCAAAGCCTCTGGGAAAGATGGCCTCCAAGCCATTTTCTACCACAAACACTGGAGCACTATCAGCACCTCTGTTTGCTACTTCATCAAAGATTGTTTCTACAACAAATCTGTTCCCAAAGAAATAAATGAAACCCTTATCACTCTTATTCCTAAGCTGGACAATCCTGAGTCTATAAAACAATTTAGACCCATAAGCCTCTGTAATGTCATCTATAAATCCATCAGCAAGATTATAGTCAACAGACTCAGACCTCTCCTCTCTGATCTCATTAGTCCCAACCAAAGTAGTTTCATCCCAGGAAGAACCACCACTGATAACATTGTCATAACCGAAGAATTCTCCATACTCTCAGATGTAAAAAAGGAAAGTCTGGTGGTATGGTCATCAAAATTGATCTTGAGAAAGCTTATGATCGTATTTCCTGGGACTTCATTTACTATACTCTCAATAAATTCAAGCTTAATCCTGACTAGATCACCCTTATCATGAATTGTATTACGAATGTCTAATCTACTATAATTTGGAATAGGGAAACCTTACCTAATATTAGCATGGGGAGAGGCTTCAAGCAAGGAGACCCCTTTTCCCCCTATTTGTTTGTTCTTTGCATGGAAAATCTTTCCAATGATTAGAATCAGAGCTGAAACTGGAAAATGGAAGGGTCTCAAAGCCTCTAATAATAGCCCTCTCATTTCCCACTTATTCTTTGCTGATGATTTGATCCTTTTTGCCAAAGCCAATAGAAGCAACTGTGTCTGTATTATGGAAGTTCTCTTTAAATTCTGTGGAATGTCTGGACAAAAAATTAATTTTCAAAAATCCAAAATGTTCTTCTCTCCAAACATTCCCTGTCACGCCCCACATTTTATTACTCGAAATCCATTACCAGATTCATTAAGTTTATTCAATTTTAGAGATGACACTCGGAAACTTTTTACATCATTTGTAAGAATAAATAAAGATTCTCTCATCCGAAAATGCAACATGTACATAACTAAATAAATTGCCCGCAGGCTTACATCTTTAAAGTAAAAGAAAGGTTTTAACCCTTTTACATCAATGGCATTCTGCCCACAAATAAAAGGCCCCATGGCCAACACATAAAGAAGATCCTCGATCTTGAAACCCATCTCGACGTTCACCTGAAAAAGGATTAGTAACATGGGATGAACATAAAGTCCAGTAGGGATCTCAACATGATCCTAAACAATAGCAACTTACAGATAGCTATGATCATGAATGCTTAGTCTCATACTGTATAAATAATGTGACGGTTTATACAGAAATATATGTACATAAGAGCTTTTCTTAAAGTCATTCATTTCATTCAATAACATAAACAGTTCACTTTTCTTTCTTCTTGTTACCTTTTTCCAAGATTTGTATGACTATAACAAATTTCTGAAGAAAAACAATTTTACCAAGCTCATTATGTTTTCTCTCATTCTCTATACTTACACCTGATTTTCCTTTTCAAAACATGTTCACAAGTATTCAAAGTCTTTCACATTTTTCACAATCTCAACACAATACTTACGTCTGTTTCCAACACATTCATAACTATACAAATATGCCTTTAATACAAAAAGAAAACAACAAGCAATCAATAACTATCTGCTTCAACAATTGAG